TTACGAGACAAAACGTACAGATGAAAACAGGAGCCTCGTTATCGAGGCTCACACAAGACAATGGTTGAACACACAAGAGCGCGCCTAAAGAAATTTCCGTTGAAGTATTTCCATATTTATCGTGGCATTGCAATACATTTTAGCCTCCTCCCACGCACACATAAAATATGCAATTTCCTTTCTAATTTGACAGCCCTGATTGGACTCTGAACTGAAATAAAAATCGTAATATTTCCCGCCATGTATTTTCTGACCTTAATTTTTTTTTAAACTTTTAATTTCGCAATGCTAGTTATCTAAGTTAGACAGAAAATAACACATTTACTCTGTCAGAGAGTCGCCGTGGCGTTGGTGCCTAGACGCGCACCTGCGAATCAGAAGGTCCTGGGTTCGCGTCCTAACGGAGCCGGATATATTTCAAAAATGACCTTGACTCCCAGGTCGACCCAGCCTTGTGTGGGCACCATAATAATATTGTGCAGTCCTGGGAAGTAAAGGCGACCGGCGTATTGGTGACCACATCAAGTGCCGATTGGTCTTTTAAAATATACGTCTCGCCCTATATTCCCACTTAAGGAGTGGAAAAGGGACCTTTTACTCTTTCGGATTTAGAGTTACTATGTGAAATAAAATTCCGTGTCGCTCAGAAGATGTGTAATAGAGATAGGAAATAAAATAGACCATGTCAGTAGCGCGGACACCAAGAAAACATGGGAGCCCCTCAGGCCCCCACCCTCACTCTCTGCATAAAAGCACACGTAGCAAGTGTTCTAGGCGGTGTCTTTACAAATTTGATTGGCGGAAAGAAACGGCAGGGGTGGGGGGGGGGGGGGAAATGGGGTCGGGGGACGAGACCACTAAACTATATGGGGGAAATAGTCCTCGTCATCCAGGTTGCGGCGAATGGTGTATAACATTCCACTATAATGGGCTACATTCTTTTGGCACTCAAGGCATTTGCAACATTAGGTTAGTTAGTTGCGTATCCTTTGCAGCACGTTGCAGAACCAACCCCAACTGCCCCTGGCTATTGTGTGGTTTTTCTAGGCAATTTACGTCCAGTAGTTTGCCATTGCTTCTGACCGGTCGGCTTTCTTGATACCACTGTCCAAACCAACGCCAGGCGCATGGCCCGCAGCTGGGATCGAACCCGGCATTCCGGCATTACGAAGCGTTCATATCGACTTAGCCACAGAGCCGACATTTCCAACATATATTTTAGAAATTGCAAACTTCGCTGCCTATAATTCACACAGATATGATACTAAAAGGGCTCTTGACATTCCACATTCTGCTTTGTTTCTTCCTTATTGCAAGGGTCCACAGTCCCCCGACAGTATTAACGTGCTCCTACGAGCATGAAAATGTCACAGAATTTGAATATATAGCCACGGCAATAAACAGCAATGGAGACTGTTCAACAGAGATAAAAAAGAGGATGGGTGTAGCAACAGCAATTAAAAGACTATGTTTAATCACCATCAAGGAAATCAGAATCATCATTTCAAGAGCATGCATCTTTCCATTAACAACATACGAATGTGCTTTGTGGAGTATCTTGCAGTCATTAAGGAAGAACACAGCGGCTTTTGGGCTAAAATGTCATTGTAAGATTCCCAGAATACCAAGGAACCAAGAAGAAAAGAAATACAAACATTCTAAAAAAGATCTAAACATCAAGGAAGACTAGCTAGTAAACAGCTTATTGTCTCGAAAACTGAAAATGGTTTGGTCATGTCAAGCGCTACAAAGGATTGGAAAGAATAACAGCAGAATGCAAGATACAAGAAAAGAGGGGCAGGGGCTGACCAGTACAAAGATGGACACAGACCTTAGGTAGGAAAGTGTAAGAGGCAGGACAGCTGACGAGAGACTGGGTTTCTCTGACGCAAGCTGTTGAAAAATGAATTAAGAATTGATATCACGACACTCGTGCCACTCTCATGAGCGCTTCGTCCCCATCCTCAGCAGCAAGCGAAGTGTTCCTATTCCGATGCCACCAGGAACTGCATGATTGTATATTCGTCTCGCCTTTCCCTTAAGTGTTGAGCGTCGACCAGATTGCCCGGACCCCCCTCCCCTTTTCCTCCCACAGTGTCATTCTCCTCAGACCGTAATGATCTATCTGTGACTTCGCTGTTCCCTGGCTCCCAAATGGCCCCCACAACATCTAGCTTGTCAATCACCAGCAAGTGGTGCAGAACCGGCCAATTTATCTGCCTGCTCGTTTCCCAACACACCAGCATTACTTGGAGAAAATATCTGAAGAACGCTAACTAACCAGGATGAGACAGGCTGTGATGAGAGCGACGTTTTGCCTCCTCACGATGGTTATTGTTACTATCGTTATTAGTAAAACTTAACATTAAACAGAAACTATTTTTTTTTTCTGCAACGTCTTTTAAAGGATATGCAAGAAACAACTGTTCTTACGCACTTAAATATTGCTTAGGCTTTTTGAGGGTAGCTTCCGCCTCCCCCACAAATAGGCAAAAAAGCTGAGTGCATGCGTGCATTATGTTGTATATGTATGATTGTTGGTGCAAATGTTTGTTTTAGTATCCAGAAGCCATGAGTTGTTAACCCTTAGGCTCGGTATTATGGATATCGCAACCTTTCGGCCTTGATTCCATTGTAAATACCGTAAATCTGGGAGAAAATGTGGCTTTCCTGCCTACCCCCGGGATTGAACCCGGACCACAAGGAGTTCGTCACCCGGTCTCCGCGCAATCCGGTTTAGCCAACTCCGCTAGAGAGCCGGGCGTGGGTGCATATATGTGAATGCATGAGTGTTGGTGCATGTATGTATATGTATGGGTGTGTATGTATGAAAGTGTTGGTATGTATGTGTATGCAAGTCTGAGACTACATATGCGGGTATTATGAGAGTGTGTATGGGTGTAAATGAGTGTGTGTGTGTGTGTGTGTGTGTGTGTGTGTATACGTGCCTGTATGCATGTGTTTGCGCGCGCATGCATTTAGCATCTATGCTTTTGTGGGTGTTTTTACTTTACATTTACATTATGCATACTGTTACATAAACATAATATGCTTCATAGATCAAATAAATTGTTCTCTTAAAGGTGAGTCTTTGGAAGAAACTAATGTAAGACGGGCCTGTGTGCCCAATTTATTGACCCACTGAAAATAAATATCGTTCGCTTGTTCGATCGTTCGTTCGTTCTCTTCTAATAGCCTCGCCAAGGTTTTCTTTGTGTCGGAATCCCTGCTGACCTTTATACTTGTTTATCTGGACTGGCATTATTATCTCACAAACTGTTCTAAGACCTTACATTGACATAATTTTCCCCATAAAAGAATACACAAGGCAACATAGGAATCACCAGACCATAAGACAACTAATCAAATTGACCACATATGTATTAACAAAAAGTTTAGATCATCCCTTTCCGATGTTAGGGCTTTCAGAGGTGCCGATGTATTTACTGACCATTTCCTGTGATAAGTAAAATCAAGTTGAAACTAAAAAGATATATAAGATCTTATAATCATAGAAACCAATATAATGTAGGCTTTCTCAGAGATAAATAAATTAAGGAACAATTCTCAGTTACGGTCTCAAATAAGTACCAAGTGTTGCAGCAGTTAGCTGAAGATGTCAACACAGAAGTCTGCTGGAATCAGATCAAAGGAATCTGGAATGAATCTTGCGTAGAAGTTCTTGGCAAGAAAGAAATGAAAAAAGATATATAACATCTTAAAATCATAGAAACCAATATAATGAACGCTTTCTCAGAGATAAATAAATTAAGGAACAGTTCACGGATACAAGTGTTTGCAGCAGTTAGCTCAGAAGTCTGCTGAATCAGATCAAAGGAATCTGGAATGAATCTTGCGTAGAAGTTCTTGGCAAGAAAGAAATGAAACATAAAGCATGGATAACACCAGAAACCATTAAACTGATTGAAGATAGGAAAAGTAAAAAGGCAGAATTAAACAATAGCAAAACTAGAGCTGCTAAAGCTAGAGCTTAGGAGAATTACACAGAAGCCAACAAGGAAGTTAGGAGGCATATAAGGGCAGATAAAGTGAAATATCTAAATGATCCAGCACAAGAAGCGGAGACAGCAGCAGCAAAAGGAAACCTCAGAGAACTTTACAGTAACACAAGAAAATTAGTAGGTAAATATAGTCAGCCAACTGGATCAATCAAAAATAGTCAAGGAAAGGTACTTACTAACACTAAAGATCAAATGGACAGATGGGTGAATATTTTGAAATGCTTCTAAATAGACTAGGCCCAGAGGTTCCCCCAGATATCCAGCCTTTAGAAATGAAACTGGATTTCAACTGTGAGATACCATTCAATGAGGAAATTAGAAAAGCTATAAATCTTCTTAAGGAAGGAAAGGCGTCAGGCCCAGATGGTATCCCAGCTGAAGCCATCAGGACCAACATAAACACATCAACAGAATTGCTACATAGATTTTTCAGTAAAGTCTGGGAGACCGAAGAAATACCAGCAGACTGGAGAGAAGGAGAACAGCATAACTAGAATGTCTTTGCATAGGAACCCACAGGGACATAGGAATAAAGGAAGGCCAAAAAAAACACATGGAGAAGAGAGCTGGAGAATGAGGTTAGAAAGATTGGGAGGACATGGGGAGAGCTCCATGCAATGGCGAAGGATAGAACGACTTGGCGTGAGTTGGTTGAGGG